AACGCCATAAAATTTGTTTCCTCAAGAGTTTATAATGTCTTAATATACCACTACTGGATTAAAAAAATGAATCAATAGCATAATACTGGGTATTAAATGAGACTTTTGGGTAATGGTCCATAGCCCCCAATAAGAGCAAAATTTGCTAAGCTCCCTAACTCTGGGCTGCTATCTGAGGTATCCAGGGCTTGCTTAAGAGATCAGTTCAACAGAACCCTCTTTTTCTACCATTCATGCTCTTGCTTCCTTCTGGTGTTTTCAGAGGACTGAGATGGAGGACAGAAATATGCTGTTTGGCAAGGATGAGAGAAGGAACACCTAACTGGCTTTTCAGTTTCTTGCAAAGTCGGGCTGTCAAGGGAGAAATGCATTTGTTCTGTTCTGTCTCTCCCAGTATGAAAGGACAAATAAAACAAGGCCAAGTTTTAAAGTAGCTCCAGCCTAATAAAGCATACAATCCTAATTTAAAGTATTGCCCCATTTCTTGCCCAGTATTGTTATGATGGTTGAGTCCAGTAATTCTGTAAAACTTAAAACAATCAGAAGTTTAAATTCTCTTATCAACATGTTCATAGATAATGTCTTATTTATTTCTTCTGTTTCTCCTCACTCAGAATTTTTAACTTTAAATGGAAAACACTAGGCTACATAGAGCTTCAAAAAAGACCGACTGTTGTTGGCCCTAAATGGCTTTTTACAACCACTGCTGACAGATACTCATTTTGGGGGTAAAACATTTATTTTTATTTCTAATTGTTTTTGTTTGATTTTTTTTTTACTTTTATTAGTACATGTTTGCAGTACATAATGATTACATTCACAATTTCATTTAAGAACTGTTTCAACTGTTAACATCATTCATCTGTTCACCATTACACTCAATTTAAGCTCTCACACTCACACTTACTACATGAATTTCATTACCAGACCTCAACCCCTATTTAACATAAGTCTGGAATACTATTCTAGCTATATCAAGCCTCGCTCTTTATTCTCTCATCAATAATATGATTTATTTCAACATTAGCACAGAACAACTAAGCACTTGATTTGGCAGGATGTGAGTCA